TACTACTACTACTACTAGGGGCTCCTGGCCTTACTACTAGGAGCAAGTATGCTACTAGGGGCTCCTGGCCTTACTACTAGGAGCAAGGACGCTACTACTACTAGGGGCTCCTGGCCTTACTACTAGGAGCAAGGACGCTACTAGGGCTCCTGGCCTTACTACTAGGAGCAAGGATGCTACTAGGGGCTCCTGGCCTTACTACTAGGAGCAAGCTAGGGGCTCCTGGCCTTACTACTAGGAGCAAGGACGCTACTACGGGCTCCTGGCCTTACTACTAGGAGCGAGGATGCTACTAGGGGCTCCTGGCCTTACTACTAGGAACAAGAAGCTATTAGAAACAAGAAATACATAGAATTGAATTAGAATTAGAATTCAGTTTAATTAGAAACAATCTGAGGAGATATGGCAGATATGGAGACCACTTGATGGTGCACTTCGGTCAAAAACACAAAGTATGTCGATTTACGATCACCGAACGGAATGGTTCTGCGAGTGAGATTATAGAAGCTAAAACAAAAACATAATGACACATATAGTTATCCTATGATGTATGGTATTATGGTATCCTGTATCTTCAAAAAACAACACACCTCATACGTGCGACGGCATTTATTTGGTACTTAGCTCAAATACATCTCATTCAGACTACTTTAGTAGCAGATCACACCATCTCGTTCAGACTACTTTTAGTGTCATCAAGCAAAGTATCTCGTTTATGTGGGGGCCCTATCTTGTTCACAAGCGAATACTGATGATAGACAAGCAAATAGAGCATGCCGCAAACTACTTTAGTAAAGCCTAAATAAAAGGGGTTGCTCATATAGAATCCAAAGCTTTGACACTTTGGGTAGCCTGAACCTGACCATGCGAGCAAAAAAACATAGGCAATCCAAGGGTTGTTTGCGCGACTGTGCCACTGTCTCAGAACGGTTGATTGCCGAATAAGTATGTGACAGTATGACCATACATATACTTTATGATATAGTTTAATAAATCATACAAAACCTATTCCCAGAGTGCCTCATGGGTATTTGCGCCACAATCCGCACAGCACCGCAGACACGACCGAGGTCACGCCGCGCCGCGCGAGCGGCGCTCCATGACGTCCGCTTCGGGGGACATCTCCACATCCACTGGGTCATCCACACTGCCCAGCAAGCGGCAGCCCTGACGGCAGGAAACGTCATCGAGGTCATCTGGTGTGGCAAACAAGCTTTGAGACTGGGAAGATCCAGCCAAATCGGCCAAATGAGGGGCTACTGGGGATGTCAAGCCTCTAGGTTTGGACCCCACATCTTTGCGCGGCTCAAAACACTCCAGGAAACCATGATTTCGGCATATTTCGCCTGTTCAATTTTGAGCGGTAAAAAGCAAAGAATTCTGAATTCCCAGGCCGCTTTAGCACGTTGATTGGGGACTGCTACTACAGTGCTTCGGTAGCTGAGAGGTTTCATAACCGAAACCATGCATGCAGCCGTTCATTTGGATTCAGTCAGCCTGAATAGATAATGTAAACCTGACTGACTGACATTACATTTTGAACAATATAGTTTTTTGATACAAAAAGTAGACGCCTGTGATTTGTAATAATATACTATTATATACACGTATAATATATATATATATACACCAGGATATATGTATATATATATATACACCAGGACCTTCCAAGTGACCTCTTTGGAGTCTCAAAGTGAGCTTTTCAGGAACTGACCGCCTTCAGGGATCTCAAAAGGTCACTTTGACACGGTCCTGGTATGTTCAATATTCTTCAATATTGAATATTGCACATGGGTGTGTATTAAAACAGGGAGACCTCCCAAAGACCCCCAGGAAGAAGGAAAATAGACCAATTGGTTGGGTGTCCTCCTATTAAGATACAAGCCAAACCAATGTCGTTATATGTCGTTATGCACCGCTCTGCTAGCTGTACTTACCAAACTCCAGCCATGACAGTCTGGTGACATTTTGAAGATGACCTAAGCGACGGTACAAGCGAACTCGGAGCGCCGAGGAGCGCCTGACGGTTTCTCATCAGCCCATGCTCGGCCGGGACACGAATTCTAGGGAGTTCCAGGCCCGTGTCCAATAGATGACATACGTCCTCAAAGGGTTTGTGTAAAAAGACCGTTCTCACCGTTCTGCGATCAGTCATTAGGATTATATGGGACCCGACCCAGATTTTCTTTGTACATGAAACATCTTCCAAACCCTTTTTCAGCCTCGGAAGGTCCTTGGAGGCCCCAAGGAGCGCCGAAACGGACTCGAGTCCGACGATGAGCACAGCCGCAGCCCCGTGGACGCCCTGAAGATCCGCTCGACTGAACCACTTGGAACCCCCGTGAAAGTTGGTTGGGAAGAACACGGAAGAACATCCTCGGGCCAAAATGGCACCCAAGAAAACCCTGCCTGACTCAGCCTGACGCACCCCAAAAAACGATGGTTCGGCCTCATCAAACTGCTCCAACATGGATTTGCATTCGCTCTGGAGGTTCTTCACTGCATGCCGCAGCGCATCCTGGATGGTCTGGGCACCAAGTCTCCAAGTCTCAAACCAGTCGTTCGTCACACAGCGCTCTTAGTTTGCCAAAGACCGTGGAGGTTTAGCCACTGGGCCCATAGGTGGTGGCATGGAAAATTAAGGGCCTCTTTCTTGAAAACCACCAAAAACAGGGACCTATACTACTCTGAGCTCACAAGACCATCGGATTCGCTATGATGCGCATGATACTAACAAATCGAACTTGTCCAAAAAGGTATGGCCTTGGCATTGATCGGCTTTGGATTCTCTCACCTTCTATCCATAGCCGCATAGCCTAGAACTCATCAAACCACTGTTACTTTGGTCAAACAAAAAAAGGAACAAATCGATTCGGATGGTTGGAGGTTCCAAAAATGGTCTGTGAGGCTCTAGATCCTCATTCATCTACACACCATCTACACACCTACCTCTGTGAAGACCATCCCCTCCATGCCACCTGCGGCGCGCCCCGCTATCGGTGCGCCCCTCTAAAACACGCCTCAGGCTTGATCACTGGGGTCGTTTGCACCCGCAGCTCAATCATGTGATTCCTATCGGCGAAGCCAAGAAAAGCTCTGGAAGGGAACTCGCAGTGACCGCTGGAGGTGCCAAAAACCGGTACTTTGTCATCGTGACAAACAGCGCCATGGGGCGCAATCGCCGAAGCCCTGCAAATCACCATCGGAGGGTCCACTTCAAACGGGAGCTCGGGAAGAATTCCATGGATGAAACTGTGTGTGTGGCCTGTGAAGGCGAGCTGTACATGCATTCCATGGAATTGCCAGCATCCCACAAATAAATCGAACGCATTCCAACGAATAAAACATAATAAAACGGGTGCCGAGTCCAAAGCCTTGGAAGCCTTGGGGTCTAAACACGCTCTTGGTGCTCATCCCAAGGCTCAAGGGGTGGGGCACCTTGTAGCCCGCGAAGAGCACCGCCTGCGCTCTTCAAACAATCAAAGGTGAATAATGAATGGCTGTTGGTTTATACAAATTGTCTATGTAATTATATTATATATATCATATATCATATATACAAGCACCCTCAGAACCCGACTCTACAGGTCTCCTCCGGTGGCTGAAATGGAGACTTAAAAGTATAGGAAACACTGGAAACCATCGACTAGCATGCGAGATGAAAAACCAATCTGCTCGAACTTGTGCTCGATGTTGGTATGCCTTTGGGGGGTTGACTCACACCGGAAGTGAAAAGGATCATGATCTATCCAACCCTCCATGTTTCATTGCTATGCCTACATAACTAATTTGCTACAAACAGCAGTCAGGACAGTCAGGAAGGGCAAATGCCAAGGTGTTTATCACATAAAACCCAAGTTCTTGACCCTAACATGGCGACCATCTGACCTGACTAGGTCACCTGTTTAGTTCATCATGAGCATCTGAGCATCTGGAGGGAAGTAGCCATCACCTGCTCAAGTGCGTGTGGTTAGTGTACTCCTTATGAAGAATCAGCAGTGGTGCATTTAGACATATTTAGACAAACCTCCATCAGTTTCAGTGGAACATATTGCTTGACCTTCTACATGTTCATATTTTGAGAAAACCAATTTCGTGTTGTATGGATGATCGGAATAAATCACCCCGGACTCCCACCTCATTTCTCAGGAGCTCCATTCGGAGCAGGTTGCCCAAGGTGTGATCCTCCAAGTGGGTATGGAGCACCACCGCATTGGAGACTTTCTCATCTGGCACCCTGAGACCGCATGGGGAGCTACCCACTGGTGGTTTCTGGCACCCTCATTTTGAATCCTCCCAAGGCTGGTGAATCGGTGCATCCTATCTGGTTCTGTATTTGTTTTAGTCTGTAGTCACTATACAAGTGTATATTTTTGCACCCATGTTCTTCTGGGATATGCATGCGTGGTCGACACACCCATCTAAGTCTATGAGTTTGTTCATGTTTAATTTTGTCTAAAAACAACCGATCTTTGCGGCCCAGTCTCACTTGTATCCTCCTGGGCTCACCATCCGGGCCCTCCGGGATCTTGAACATCTCATGGGCCTGGAAGCGGATTTTCTCATGGAAAACATCTGGAATCCTGGGGCAATGTACATCAATTTGTATAGTTGTACTGATTGTATATATAACATACCTACTAACATGCCTTTTATGTAGGCGTGAGGTGTCCCACATGTTGGGTCCAAGGGCAGTTGGCCAGAACTCAGGCTTTGACATGGCTGATGAATGGGAAAATGGTTCGTGTATGGCAACACTTTCGCACAAGTTCCATTGCTGATGCCATCACATTTTCGTGATATTGCTTAATATCACCACACCTATATCATTGTCTCATAGAGCCTTTCTCGAGTTCACAACATTATTGATGGTTTCAACTTCCCGGGTTGTCATTGGTCTCACAACATAGTCATCACCAATTGTCACCAAAAAAAGTGTCCTTAAATTTGGGTAGCGTTGGAAAGAGGCTGTTGAGCTGGATGGGGAACTTGAAAGCATTGAGAAAATAAGGCATGTTGTTTAACGCTCACCCTGGTAACCCTTTATTGCGCCTCCCATTCTGCCATACCTGAATATAGTAACTTTTTCGAGTATGTACACGGAATGGCAGGCGCAGAAATTGTAGCATTGTAGCGCATGACAGCAAAAGAACAAATGCAATGTGAGCACAAACGCAAAACAAACACCCCAACAACATTCGCTTGCTGGTTCTGGGAAACTCCATGCTCCCCCCCCTCACACACTCAGACATGAATGCCACATGCCACACGGAAGCCTAGGTGAAAAAATGCTCCAATAAACCAAGGAAATGTAAGATGATGTAAGATGGTCTAACTTCTAAACATCCAGAAAGGAAGAAGTTCTTGATAGAAGTTCCTCAAATAACATTCCAAGTCTATTAAAGTTCAAAAGTCAGGTCAAAGGTTCAGTCATCAAACGCGCATCAGCAGAAATGATGGAACCGGTGTAGCGGCCGGCATTTTGTTCTAGTAACGAACTAGGCCCAGTGGGAATTGAAGGTCATCATGTTGTCTCGCAGGTACGTCAACTCCGCGTCCAGAGTTGATATCACGGACCATTGCAAGTGTCTTTGTTGGTGCCAGTTTTGCACGGTCCCTGGCACCCCCTGCAAAAAAGGCCATATGGTAACCGTGACTCCAAGGAGTACACAGATAGGCAGCGTGGCGTTCTGGCGAATGACTTGACCCACTGACACGTTCCTTGGGGGTTCGCACTGTGAGCCGTGTCATGACGAACGTCCCGCCACAAGACATGGATCTTCACGTGTCCAAGCGACTTGAGGCCGAGGGTAGGTGACGAAAGCTAGCAGGGGTGCATCCGGACTGGTGGGACATCCAGCGGAGTGAGGCAAATGCTCATGAGGTAAAACGTTGTGAACATGTAAGACACACAAACAGCAATGACACAGCCAACCTTAGAATTGAAGTCCCCGATAATTAAGGAAGCGTGGCTGGACTTTGCCACACTGTTCGATGCATCCGATGTGTTCACGAACCTGTGAGCTTGTTGAATCTGTTGCACCGTATCCCAAAACCTCCACGGAGGAGTTGAACCTATGTGGATGCCATAAGAGGTGTCCCAGAGGAGGGGGGGGGGGGGGGGGGGGCCCCTCTACATATGAAGTTTTCACGTGATGCGGCGATCCCGAGGATTCCAGCCCCTCACTTGCTAAAGCAAGGACAACTCCAGCTAGCTGGTGCTAGCTTTCGTGAATAGCAAAGCCAAGTTTGTTTTGGCCCTGAGGCACTTTGCACCTTTTCGTTGCAGCGTGTTCTGTTTGGTCTAAGCCTTCTGGATAAAATCACCTGTAACACTGTAACTGAAGAGATTATCCCAGTCATAGGATTGTCTAAAGCAACTCTTGAGATTGTGATGACCAAGCGTCAGCATCTCTCCATATGGACCTTGAAACATTCAATCAACTTCAGGAGCCAAAATAACTGACACTTGATGGATGACAAAACTGACAACACTCTAAAGTTGTACAGTAGATGAGACGATTTGTAAAGCCCTGAACATGGGAGTGATCCTCAAGCTGCTGCAAATCCCTCTGATAAGTTTTTGCAGTACAGCAATCATCCATGACCATGGCAAATGCCGAGAGCTTGATCCTGTTTGTTTTCGCTCCGATGCTAGATGATGCTCAACTGCAGCAGCCAGACTAGTATGGATAGCCCGAACCCCAGGAAAAAACATCGTGGGGTTGGTGACATCTGTCAACGTTGGCAAGCAAAGTATATATACAATAGTTATATATATATATGATCCGTTTTGAGGGCCATGTCTATGCCTGGGGGTTGTGGATTATAGAATGGACACAACCTGGGTCTTTGATTGATAGCCCTTGCTGGTCCTTCTCGGGCAGTGAATATGCGATGTGTGAACTTGCTCAATGAATAAACCAAATGTGTGAGCCTTCAATTGCGATCCAAAAAAACCTTCCTAGGACTCACTGTGCCAAGGGGCGGATTCAAACATGAGTGGTGTATACATCTGCATACATACCAGCATTATGCAGCAACATATAGATATATATATATATAAGTTTTAAGACCTCTCACTGCACCAAATCACAACTCGAAGCCTCGAACAAAACCACCACCAAAGTCTTCGCTCAAATCTTGGTGAGTCCTCCATCGGGAAAACGCCGCCTCCATCTTGTTGTACATCTGCAACTGCCCAGGCGTCGCCATGGCTCCGGCACACCGCTCAACGGTTGAGGTCGAACGGTGGATGGAGGCCGGTCGACCGGTCGAGATCTTTGAGCTGAGGAGCTCCCAGAAATCACATGCGAGGTGTCCTGGGGTCAAATGGGGCAAGTAGGGGAAAGCAGGCGTTTAACATCCCGAAATGTGTTCTTACAACAAACACCTATTCATTTTCAAATAAACACACCCATCTCAGGAGCAGGAACCTGTAGAGCCCTAACAAACGGCTTTGGCCGATGGAAGTGGAAACAGTTCAAGGGTGCCAGTCACGGCAACTTCCCAACTCATCTAGGGTAATTTAGGGCTTGCAAATATACTCTTACTTGGACACCGATTTAGTTCACACTAGCCCAAGCAAGATGTTTAAAATGGCGGCAACATAGTCTTAGTAACCACAAGTGTTGGGCTATATATGGCTATATCGATCTGAATTCTCCATGAACCACCTCCGGTGTGTCAGACCTCACTACGGGAACAATTTTTCTTGCGGCGTGTGTGTGTGTGTGTCACACTCAGTTCCTAAGAGTTTTCCACAAGCAGGGGACCAGGCAGGATGCATCGTCGCCTGGTCAACGAAGCTGGCGATGCATCCGAGGATATGCAAATGGGACGCCATTTCCACGTACCTGCTAAAAGCTGTTGTTTACGCTGTGACTACACTTTTCCTTTTTTGTTTCCATGGTGGTTCTTCGCATGATATCCCCCAAAACAGGTTTCCTTAGCTTTGGTAGAGTGCTGGTGAGTTTGTTACACAGTTCTGTTCTTCGGACCCTTTCGCCTTACCGTTCTTGCAGTAAAGTGCAAATGCAGTAACTAGCTTCCGCAATCACGCAAAACCTTTGTTAAACATCTTCAAGTTTTCAGACTCGCTCGCCTTTCCGTTCCTTCACCCTTTTCGACCTGGGAAAAGAGTTGGCTGCAAACCCATTGTCAAAGTGTGCCGCTGCGCTGTCCCACTTGGGTGCACAGTGTGATCCTCCGCAAAGAGGTGCCATTCTCACTCCGGACTACCGTGTAACTGACTCAACGGTTTTCTGCATGCGTTGGATTATCTTAACCGACTTTCGTTTCACTACTGTATTCTCAAAATCAAAGCCGCCGGGCTTCACGGAAATTCGAAGCCGCCGGGCATACGGAGAATAAACCCCGACGTGTTCTCTACCCCAAACACCCCAACACCCCCTCCCTCTAATTAGGGTAACAGAGGAAAATGGTACTCGACACACTTGCGTGTCAGTGCCTTTCCCTCTGTTGTCCCTTTTCTAGTCTACTCTACCCGGGCGGTGTAAGACAACCCTAACTAGTGCACCTAATTCACTTCGTCTAAGTATTCAATTCTAGAGTGCTAGGTATTCATACACACACGGACACACACATGTACATACACCTCCCTGCCCCCCACTTTCCTTCTTGCGCTTTTTGTCGTTTCTTGGGCTTTCTCTATTTCCCTACCCCAGTCAAGGGCTAAGTATTCACTTTTTGCTACTCCTATCTTTCTCTCTTGCCCTTTTAGCGCTGCTTTTTCTGTTTTTCTTCCTCTTGTTTCTACGGCTTTTAGGTGCCTATTTAGGTCCTCCGCGAGAGCGCCGCAAAGCGGCCGGGTGTGTGTGTGTGTGTGAGTGTCACACTCTGTTCCTAAGAGCTTTCCACAAGCAGGGGACCAGGCAGGATGCATCGTCGCCTGGTCAACGAAGCTGGCGATGCATCCGAGGATATGCAAATGGGACGCCATTTCCACGTACCTGCTAAAAGCTGTTGTTTACGCTGTGACTCCACTTTTCCCTTTTTGTTTCCATGGTGGTTCTTCGCATGATATTCCCCCAAACAGGTTCCCTTAGCGTTGGTAAAGTGCTAGTGAGTTTGTTACACAGTTCTGTTCTTCGGACCCTTTCGCCTTACCGTTCTTGCAGTAAAGTGCTAATGCAGTAACTAGCTTCCGCAATCACGCAAAACCTTTGTTAAACATCTTCAAGTTTTCAGACTCGCTCGCCTTTCCGTTCCTTCACCCTTTTCGACCTGGGAATAGAGTTAACTGCAAACCCATTGTCAAAGTGTGTCTGCCTCCCAAGCAACCCTGTCCAAGTACTTATGATAGCTGTACAACCATCTGAGTTGTAAGCAGGGTGACTGACTCATACCAATTTGGCCCCCAAAAACATTTTGTTGTTTTTAAACACAACTCTTTGAAGTCATGGTTGACTACTATCCCCCCCCAAAAAATGCAACCTCTCACAAAAAGGGAAGGACATGGATGGAGTGAAACCAACGGAACCCTTTGCTACGATGTTCCAACTATGAACGAACCAG